CATGTTACGTCACAGAGAAATCTGTACTGATTAAAGATCTAAGCTAGTAATGTTTTTGGTTGTTAACTATAATTGGACTCACCTTTACTGTTTATGGTTCTTCATTTGTGTGAATCAAATTGATACCAAAAAAAGATAGGCATACTCGTTTTTGGAGCTATATACTTCATTTGGTTCTCTGTTTTTCTTATGAGTGATTTTGAATGTTTTAATTATTTTTTGTTAATGTAATTATGGCTGTGTGGTTTTTTTTTAAGGTAGGGTTTTGGCATGCTTTTAAGCAGATATATAAGATTGAAATGTGGGGTGTAAGGTTTGGTTTGATGGGTCAAGGGTTCGACCAAGGTTGAGGATAGTTGGGATTTTGATTTTAGCGGCATGGATTGGGCTTGGGGCTTTGTTTGGTTTGCTAAAACCTGTAAAGAATGGTTGTACTATGACTTATATGTATCCCACTTACATTCCTATCTCTGTGACGGACAATGCACCTTTACCATGAAGGATGGAGGAAGATCGACTTTAAGGAGCACCTTCAGAAACTTAGCGGAGTTCCAGTTCTTTTCATTCCTGGCAATGCCAGTAGCTACAAGCAGGTAAGGATCCTCCCTTTCTTGATTGGATTTCGGAAAACTAGAAATAAAAACCATTTATAGTAATCCAGTATGACTTAGAATGGTGCCATTATAAAAACATTGAATATTACAAAAAAAATTTAAACGAACTTAGGAATTCTCTAACCAGCAGTTTTTTCATGTGGTTGTGGAGCCTTTTTCTTTTTGAACTCCAGAATAATATAATTTATCTTGAACTTACTTCTATGAACTTCATACAGGTCAGGTCTGTGGCAGCAGAATCTGATAGAGCATATCAAGGTGGCCCATTTGAGCGCACGTTTTACCAAGAAGCTTCTGTATTCCCTGGAGGAGCTGCAGATACAGAAACAGACTATGATTTCCCTAGTCGGTACAGTAACAGACTGGATTGGTTTGCTGTGGATCTTGAAGGTGAACATTCTGCAATGGATGGTTGCATACTTGAGGAGCACACTGAATATGTCGTATATGCCATTCATAGGGTGGGAATTTTGACAGTTTTACTTCATTCTCTCCATGACATTCTTAATTATGAGTATAGTAACCATGTTATTTAAGCTGGTAATTGTTGTGCATTAAAATGCTCTCGCATGTGGGGACTTCTTTTCAGAAATTTCATGTAGTAAAGTTCTCTAAGAAATCTCAACATACTGCTTTTTAAGTATTGTTTTGAAATGCTGTGCTTTCTTTTTATCTCTTATTCTTAATCAGTATAAGGAATCTCATGATACGAGAGAAAGAGAAGGTGCTGCCCGCCTCCAGTAACTTACCACGTAATGTGATATTGGTTGGTCATTCTATGGGTGGTTTTGTTGCCAGAGCTGCTGCAGTCCATCCTCGTTTGCGGAAGTTAGCTGTGCAAACTATTCTAACACTCTCAAGTCCACACCAGTAAGTCCTCTGCATGCTTCCACAAGTTTTACGTGCCAAACATGAAATTAGGTCTTTATGTATCTAATTTTATCCAGATCACCTCCTCTGGCATTGCAGCCATCCTTGGGGCATTAATTTGCTCATGTGAACCGAGAATGGAAAAAAGGGTATGAAGTTCAAACATCGCCTGGGGGAAGTTATGGGTCTGACCCATTACTATCCGGAGTTGTTGTTGTATCCATTGCCGGTAGCTACAATGATTATCAGGTTCTAGTGGGATGAGATTTGATTGTTTTCTTAAGCCTTAAGATTTTCCCTTTGGCCTTAGGTGCGATCAAAGTTAGAGTCACTTGATGGCATTGTCCCTTCAAGTCACGGCTTTATCATAAGTAGTACAAGTATGAAAAACGTGTGGCTGTCGATGGAACATCAAGCTATACTGTGGTGTAACCAATTGGTTGTTCAAGTAGGTAAAAAAATCTTAATTTGTACTGGAAAATGCTCTGTTCAATGAATTTGAAGATTCCCATGTCATGCAGGTTTCACATACGCTTCTTAGTTTGGTTGACTCGAAAACTGCTCAGCCATTTTCTGATACTCAAAAGAGACTTCAGATTTTGACCAGAATGCTTCAGAGTGCATTAGCACAAAGTTTCAATGGAATGACGCCTATGAAAGTCTCTCATGAGGTGCCCATGTTGGTCTCAAAGGTTATTAATACCATCTCTATGTGTATCTTGTTTTCTCAGAACAGAAGTCCTCAAAAGAAAGAATATAGATTTCCTTTGTATTGAAGTTATAAACTTGTCTGATCCTGCGGGTTATTAGACTCTATCAGCTAACATTGTCAAGTAATTCAAACATACAAAGCTAGATGTTTCTTATCCATGAAACAATTTTTGCTGCAATTAGTAACTAAGTGAACAATTTCATTAGGCGTTGATATTTATTGTAGGTACATGTTATTCTTTTGCATGCCCGTAACACTGTGCTGTCCATCTTTACAGGCTCTGAATACAAATTTCTACCTGTGCCTCGGATTGGAGGGATGATGCTCTCGATCGGGATCTGTACATACAGACCAGTACTGTTACAATTTTGGCAATGGACCGGAGAAGGCGCTGGATGGACATAGAATTATTGGTCTGTGCTGATAGGATTCACTTGAGGATGCTATTTCATACATTTATATTATTTAAGATTTCAGCATCGATCTCCCATGACACATTTTCTGTACTATAGGGGTCTAATGGAAAGAAACACTTTATCTTTGTTACAAATCTGGCGCCTTGTTCTGGAGTAAGACTCCATCTATGGCCTGAGAAGGAGAAATCAAATTCAGATTTACCTGTTTGTGAAAGGGTTCTGGAAGTTACGTCAAAGATGGTTCTCATTCCGGCAGACCCCGCACCAAAACAGGTGATATATACTGGATTCTCATATGCCAAGTTAATTTTAGGGATCAATTACAACAATGCTGGAATTTGTCCCTGTAACACACACTCAATTTATTTCCTGTGCGCGTCTTCACATTTTTAGAAGATCAGATAAGCATTATCATTAACTAGATTTTTCTTTGTGTATATTTGCTAGTCGGAACCAGGGAGTCAGACCTAGCAAGCTCCCCAATCTGCAGTGCTAAGGCTAGGGCCTGAAGACATGGATGGATTCAGATTCTTGACTATCTCAGTGGCCCCTCGCGAAGTACTTTGTCCCCTCGATACCTTTGCGTTCTTTCGCATTTCAGCAGTTTTCAGATGACTAAAAGCGTGACTGAAATGAGACCTTCTCTTGCGCAAGCAGTTTCTGGTAAACCTCCTGTGGCGGTTTCTATGGCAGTAGGGCAGTTCTTTAATCCGGAAGAAGGGACCATGGAGGTCTCATCTCAATCAATTCTCTTATCCACATACTCCGCAAAGGTTATCATTCTTAAAAGTGGCCAGACCCTTCCATTGCATCTCTAGTGTTTTGAAATTAAGACAGTGAAACCGTTGGTTAACTGATTTCAGCTGTGGAGTACTTTTCTGCAGGAGATTTTTTTGAAGGAGGACCATCCTCTAGCTTACAATCTATCTTTTGCTGTCAGCTTAGGTCTAGTGCCCATAACGCTTTCCCTGAAAACTGCTGGATGTGGAATTAAAACTTTTGGTCTACCAGATGGCGAGACAGGAGACTTGGACAAGGATAGTAAGAATTCAAAACCCTCTCCTGAATCCTAGAGATCTTTCTTTTCATAGTTTCGTGTTTATAGTTTTCGCTGTTAATCGTTTGGTCAGCATCTGCCAAGATTTCCAGTTCTGTTGGATTGATGCATGCATTGTTCAATTTTCAGAGCTTTGCAAATTGCGTTGTTTCCCACCTGTTGCTCTTGCCTGGGATTCTTCTTCTGGACTTCATGTTTTTCCAAACCTCTACAGTGAGACGATAATCATTGATTATTCACCAGCTCTTTGGAGTTCTCAGAGTTCGGAGAAAACTACTATTATGCTATTACACAAAGCTTGTCTCTGTCATCCTCATTGAAATAGAAAACTCAAGTGTTTTTATCTCTGTCCTGGCCCTTCTGTAGGTTGACCCTCATTGTTCATACACCGCAAGCGTTCATGTCTCTTTCTCTGCCATGTCCACCAGATTTGTACTTCATATGGTCCTCAGGTAGCTTTATCTCTAATCTCTCTGTGTACTAATTATGCATGTTATAGTAGCATGCTGCATATGACTACTAGCGAGCTGCATATAACTATTGCCTCAAGACTTCCTGTCTAAACTGGACAACCTTTTGTTTTTTTGGATACGAGGTAGCTCACTGATTTATGAGTGATTGAACCTTTCTTCACGTGACATCTGATATTGCAGATAGTTGGCTTCTCATTTGCCGTTATACTGTTTGCTCTTATGCGGCAAGCTTATCAATGGGACCAGAAACTATCTGTGCCTCCATTGCTCTCCGCTATGGAGTACAACTTAGAAATGCCATCTCCATTTCTGCTTCTAGCTGCTATCCCTCTTCTATGTTCCTTGTTCTTCTCTTTCCTAATGGCTCAGCCAATCCCTCCCCTCGCAAGCTTCACAGTGGTCTCATTGATCTGGTATTTGTTGGCAAATGCCTTCATCACTGTGTTAATCATTGTCTCCAAATTGGCCTTCCAATTGTCGGCCCTCGTCCACACCACTGTGAGATCAAGGTAAGTGGCTGACTTTCCTCACCTTTCTTTGGTTCAATGTAAAATTACCCAACTCTGTCCAGAAATAACTGAATCAGTGCCAATGTGTAGCAGGTGCCAAGCTTTGGAAAGAAATTATTCTCATGCTTTCCTACATTGGTTCTCCATGCTTGCGTCCAGTTTCGTCTGTCTAAAGGTTTACTTCTCGCTTCTGTGCATTACTTTCTTAACATGAAAACCATATGCTCTTAGTTTAGCATCTTCTCTTAGCTAAGTCTTATCGTCAGAATTAGGTAGTGAGATTCTGTTTCTTGAAGCAGGCAATCCGAATTCTGAAGCTCAACACAACAAGTGTTATGACACTAGCCGCGGTTACCTTGGTGTCCTTTGTTCATCCGGCTTTGGGTCTTTTCGTACTCCTCGCGTCTCATGCCCTTTGTTGCCATAACTCCATGTGCTGGTAAGAAGTGGGCTTGCGTCTTTTCAATTCTTGTCATGTGTGACAGGATGATGCCACAAATGTACACGAAAAATAATGATTTTACCCGTAAAGAACCAATACCTGATCCTGGAAGGCAAAAGCTGAAACTCAAATTATTATGAAGAAAATTATGAATCAGAAAATCAGTAAGAGGCAATCATAGCTAATAGTTGTTTTCATGTTTTTTTTTCATGGAAGTATCGTGACAACATTGAGGCGGAAGGAATCAGTCGATCAGAAAAAAACAGGTCGAGCGTAAAACTCGACATCCCTTAAGCAAACAAGAACCCTTATCAGGAGACTTGTCTGAAAAGTCATTTGTTGAGACACAAGCAGACATCTTCAACCATAGGCACGGTTTACTAATATTGCATCTCCTTGCATCACTGATGTTTGTACCATCTCTTGCCGCGTGGTTCCAGGTACTCTTTTCATGTTCACAATAGAGCTTTCTTAGATTCCTGACTGATGACTCTTATTCGACAAGTAAAAATGGTTTATTGCATGGTCTTGTGGCCTTTAACGTATGCCAATACCTGAAATGAGATTGACTAATATTCTAGTGGCATCTTTCTTGTAGCGGATTGGAACGGGACAAATCTTCCCTTGGTTTGCTGACTCGGCTCTCTACGTTGGCGTAATCTTCCACGGAATATTGAACTCAAGACCCGAGTCAAGCATCTTACGCTCTTTCCCGTCTCTCTCGGGACACCAACTCCGTCCCCATCACATCTATCTCCTCGCCGGCTACTACTGCTTCTTCTTGGGACTAGACTTGGCTCCATACAAAGTGTTCTATGCCATAGCTGCTTTAGGCTACATCTCTTTGACTCTTAAGATCTCACAGTTGAACAACAACGACCTTCGTTTCCGTACCAAAAGCAGAATACACAGAAACTGAGTTTTACAGTCAACTGATAGAACATTCAGCTGCTAGGTCTTGACAGCTACATGAGGGGTAAATTGCGACCGGACCATGAGGAGAGTTTTGTTGCGGTTTCAAACTCCCCAAGAAAAACATAAATTAGATCATCTGGTTTCATTGTTTTGCAGCGTGTTTATTTGTCTTATGTTGTTTTTGTATCTCTCTCTTTGTTTATGGGTTACAAAGGGCTCGATTGCTAGAACCAGACGACTATGATAATTTTGTATGATTTGGTTTAGGTATATTAGTGAAGAGAGTATGTCCCATGTTTTTTTTTTTTATCGGATATTTGCTTAGTTTAGCTTTAATGGAACATTAACTCCAAAAAATCATCAGTTTATGCATCAAAACAGTCACTTCCAAGCTTATATTTACCAAGAGGCGACAAAAAAAAATGAAATAAGAAACAAATGAATCCTTAAAAGCCGAAACAATGAGTCAGTAGATGAAACCACCCACCAGAGCCACGGCAGCTACGGCAAAACTGGTGAAGATATCGCCCGCAGGAATGACGGCAGAGCTTGGTGTCTTTGTACTGATACTGTGTAGTCATACATCCATATACTAATTCCATATTGCAGATTATATACATGTTGTATGTATCTATGTGTACAACACATCATATGTATGCGAAAGACAAAGAGAGACTAAAAGGTCATGTGACCCCTACAAAATTACTATATTAATAATTTTTAGTGTATTTTTGATTAGTTTTGGAGAAATATTTGGTTAAAATTAGTGTTTGACCCCCTTCAATTGTGTTCAAATTTTAAAATGCCCCTTCTAATATATATAATTTTTTCATCTACTATTATAATATATCAAATTTATTGATTATGACCCCGGTAAAAAATATTTATAGATCTGCCACTGTATGTATGTATATATGTGTACTTACAACTAAATATATATTACGTACATATGTATATAATATACATATATATACGTTTGTGAATATATATCATACATATAAAATATATATATGTACATGTATTTATATGTACGTGTACGTACACATATAAATATA